GATTTGTCTGACCTTGTACACGTGAGCTGGACTTCGGGCCAGCTCGGTTTCAGTTGCTTTCTCCTATTTGGAATGCGTTTATAATGCTCTTTTTATATGGCCTTCTGATGTTTGGCGATCACGTTAAAGGTTGTCTGACCGATGTGCATGTGGACTGATCTTCGGGCTATGCTCAGGTTCCATTTGCTCTGTTGTCTTCGTATACATGTATTCAACCCCATTTTTACCCTCTTTTTTCCCAATAAGAAGCGTTGGGACGCTACAAAAACGATAAATTTTTCCAACCAAGCTTTATTTTTGCTTGTTTCTATGCATGCTACAAAAATAATAATTGATAAATAAATAACAATAGGCATTTAACGTCATACTGTAAACTATTTTAAAACGTGTCTTTAAGCCTATAGCCATTGCTCGAATCATTGGAGGGTTTTGGTAGCGTTCCAAGAGCCGCAATTATGAAACGCGTATTAAGTCTATAATTTATGGTTAATTTTCTTACAACCAAGTAAGCCAATTAGATAGACGCGGGTGTTATGACCGATCGCAGCAAGAAATTCGAATTGTTGGAGGAACATATCGAAAGTGTCATTGACCACTGTCGTGAGGCCGGTATAATAGTTTGCGACTATCAGCCCGGTGTCGCGTTCCACAAAAAGATTAATGACTTAGTTCTCAAATTGCAAGTAATTTCTCAAATGTTGACTGACAATATAGCCTCATATTTTGTAGTTTATAAACCTGTTTCAGTTCTTCAAATCCGTCCGAGGTTACCATATGACTACGGATTATGAAATTTCAATTCACATCCTAGTTTTATTTGCAAATGTATCTGGCTAGTGAATTTGTTAATGCACAATTAACACCCCCGCATTTGAACCCACATTGCCCTAATTTGTGTAAACTCTTGTAGACCGGCTACCTTTTACACCTATCGCATTCGAGTATTTACTCGACATTGTCTTCTTTTTTGTGTTGGTTTGCGATTTTGTCACTTCAGCTTTGCTGCATTGCAGGATGTTGATCGGATGCAACAAGATGTGCAAGATGTCCTGGTACCAATTGCGGTATTTTCCAAAATCGACGCAGGGCAGAACCCCCAAATATATAGCCGAGAGTGCATGGAACGCGTCATAGCCCACAACGAAGTGGTTCGCGGCAAGTTAGAGAGCCTTCGTCGTTTTCGATATCTGCTGATGGCGGAACTCTCGAAACGATTCCCCGGCGAAATGGCGAACTATCGATCAATGCGAGACGATGCTGAACCTTCCCAGCAAAGCTCTCAACCAAACTCAAACGACAATCTCCTCCAGACTGGTGGGTCTAGCTCGGACACTGGGCTCGAGTCAATCCTACCTCCTGCTCGATGAATAAGACTGCATATACTGCACCCAAGCAACACTAAATTTTTAATTCAATTTGCTGTTTATAAACACATGTTACGCGAATTGCTGGACTGTGTAGTTTTCTGGTAATGCCCTTGTTACATCTTACGAGTACTGCACCGCTTACCAAGTACAAACCCTCCAAGATTAAAAGGAATTCCGTTGGGATACGTGCTGCATTGCAACGGGAATTTTCTAATACATGTGTGTTTAAAACTAGCTGCCACGCGAGGCGTATGCAGATATCTCAGGCAGTCAGGGCGGGTTGTGAAATCAGCTGAAGTCCCAATGGACTTTGGGTGCCATATTCTTTAGTGCTGCCTGGCTCTCAGTCTTGGGAACCTCGCCGGTGTAGAACGGGTCCATGTTGGTATCTGGGAAGTATGTAACGATGATTTCGGGGATCATCTCATCAAAGGGGGGCAGCTCCTTCAGGGCCTGCTTCTAACCAAACAAGAGATGATTTAGACAACTGGCTTGTGGATCGAGAAGAATAACCACCAGCACGAACCATTTTATTGGCGTCCGCCTTCATACTTTCACAAGCCGAAACATGCTTCTTGACCAGATCACTCTAAGAACCGAGTAAAACGTTAGACACTAGGTTACCATTTTGATTGCTTGTGCGTCAACGGACTTGCCGACGTTTTTGGAATCGGTCGGTAATGCAACTTGAAGTGCCATGTATTCTTTCTTGAATTTATCAACAAGTCCTGGAACAGGTACTACCTTTTGGTAGTATTCCCAGTTGATTTCCGGGAGTTTTTCAGGAAGAGATGATATTCTGAAATTGTTAAAAACAGTATAATGAAGTGGAGAACGCTCGTCAGAAACCCAATACAATTCCAGATTATCAGTTAAGAAAATAATAGAGACAAGTGATAAACGAACATTACCTCGAAACTAGACCATCAGTTTTGGTTTTCAGATCTCGAAATTGTTCGAGTTGGTGCTTGGGACAGTGCTGATATAGCTCAGTCCAATTAATTGCCGTTCGAGCAGCACGCCTGGAAGCCATAACCCCAATGCCAGCTACCACCAACACCAAAGAGGTATGTGAGATGAAACGTTCCGCCTAAGCTAATCTAGTTGCAAGTCGAACCCGACGAGTTGGTCAGAAAAACAATTCTTCACTTTAAAAAACCTTACTTAACAAACCGTGACAAGAGAGGCCTGTCGCCATAATTTAACACCTGCGTATTTTATCATAGGAAATAGTATTGTGATCAACACTTATGCCATCAAATGATTGTCTTGTTAAATAATCTAATGTGTAATTGAACGACCAATGAAAAATCAATTTCGTTTTAATAAAGGAGCAAAAATTTGTTGTCTGAGAAAGGATGGTTTGATAAAGATTAATGGAACAGTCTTAAGGGATCGGGAGATAAATAAGGTTTACGAGCTAGACACGAGAAGGATCCTCGCACCCCACTTGCACGGCTTCCGGATCTAAGCCGATAACCCATCGACAAAACACAATTTAAATGAACGGTATGAGTAACGCCGACGATTTTTAATAATTGCAATCTGTGATACTATAATAAGTTGTATCTACAGGAGTGCCAATCCACTAGCATCGCGTTATGTCCATGCCTAGGAGTGACACGAAGTTTCTAAGCAAAAAGCAAAGCAAAAAGCGTAAGAACCGAAATGCCTTTCTGCATTTGCTCACCTGTGTAGAAGAGTATAATTTTATTTAATATAATTGATTTAACAGCTATCGTTGTAACGAATATAGACTTCCTATTAAGTGAGAGAAGGTGGTATGTAATGTTGAACACTAATTGTTAGGATGGAGGGCGAAAACACAGGCCTTTGCTTAGCCCGAAGTTTAGCTCACTTTTAAAAGCCAAGTGCAAATGTGACTGCCAGACATGAACGTAGTCAAATCGAGAAATATTGTACGGATCTTAATTAAATGTATGTGCACAGACAGAAAAGTTAGTGATAATGATCTGACATGATCCAAAAGCCAATTCTTTCCTTAGGAATAGGATTACCTTTGCACTTTGTTGATTTGACAACTTGAGGGCTGACGGGTAAGCAGACCTACAGGTTAGGCCGGAATCCCTTATTCAGTAATTTTTTATGTGATTGTAGGGCCTCGCAGCCTATTCTTATGCCTCTGAACCTCTGACTTCATAAGAGAATTGGTTAAAGGAGTTTATTTCGCACTTAGCATAGAAAGAGAAAGAGGGCATCCATGAGATCGTTAAGCCAACACCACTCCGTGGATGTTTGTCTGCATACCTCACGAACAGGACTCGTGTTCGAATTGATTAGCCAAAGCGTTAGTATGTGTAATGCTTGGTGGATGTGACCACATGACGTTTGGCGGTCACTTTTATGATCTGTCTGGCCCCTGTAGCGTAGGCTGGCCTTCGGGTCACGCTCAGCCTCCATTTGTCTTGTCGTCTTCGGAATACATGTACTCAACCTCACTTATGCCTTCTTCCACCCTATGGAAATCCTCGGGACACTAC